AAAAGGTATATGAATCCTTTTACTCAAATACTACAACCTTCATGTTGTTAACATACAGAAACTGGAAAGCTTTGAAAGTTAACCGGAAACAATATTATTATATAGCTAAGTAAGTAAGTACGACAAAATAGTGGACATAATATTATTTTCGTGTAAAGTAGTGGACGTATCGCATTTTTGAACGAGGAAAAAATTACACCCTTGGAGAAYCGCACACGAATGGTTGGTAGCAGTGGAGACTCGCACACATAACACAAAGGCAAGTCACATATATCCATCTACCCGAACCCCGAACGACCCTCTTTTGTTGTCGTAGGCCGAACAGGTGGTCCGGTGGTCTTACCGAATTCCACGTTGAATCGTTTAATAATAATAGAAGGAATGTGGACATGTGGTGCCAGCAAGGCGGCGACGACCGGCGACGTTCTTATAAGCCTGCACGTGTGATCGTAAATAAACAAGTTTTCTTTGTTGCTGTGACACACCCCTAGTGTCRAGGGTCTTGCCTTTATATTATATTGTCGGTATTAAACTGCTTGCATTATATACACACTTCAGAAGGTTCTTAAAAACGTTATCTACACAGTCATCGAAAAACATTAAAAATACTGGAATATTATGTTCCGTAAAATGTTATTCACTTATTGATAAAGAAGACATTAGTACCATAGAGTTTTATTTTTGACGAAATTGYRTATTATATATTAATCATAGGAACTTGAAACTATTTTCACCACAACACCTATACAGTATTATATTATTATTATTTTTCTTGCACAATGAAATGTTCAAAATATTTAAGCTGATTATCTGCATCACAGACTTCTCTATATTCAGGCCAATCGACAGTACGCCGTGATATTGACTATTAAATTAATAACAATATTATTAGTAATGCATCTACGATATAATATGATAATAAATAATTGTGCGATATAATATGCAATTAAATAATATTATAAACGGAAATCGATTGTATTATAAATCGCTATAGTATAAACCTACGTATCTACTTAAAATTAACACTTAGATAGTTTGGATAAGGGGTGAAAATGTAGTAATATATCATTCGACTGCCGTGGAATGCGAGAGAAAGTGTCAAGGTTGTATATTTTGGCGACAAACAAGATTTATTGTAAACATGTACACGATTATCATATTATTCTTTAATTATTAATTATAATTCTAAATACTTCAGAAATTTACACGTCGTTGAAACCAAATATTTTAATCAAATCCATAGGTAATATCACTACTATGCCTATCTACAAATTATTATAATTCACTAAATTATTGCTATCATTTAATGGTCTTGCATAGAATAGTTACAATGAAATACAAAGGATAATATTGTTATACGCACTTAAATACCGTTTTATGATTGGACTGTCGACATTTTGAGAAAATACAGCCCTATATAATATGCAGATTGTGCTTTTGAAAACAGTAGTGAAATGTGTAAATTTAAGTATGTCGACCAAATTTAGATATTAAAAATGAATTAAATATGAAATTTAATTTAAAAATGAATTAAATATGAAGTTATAAAATTAATATGTTTGCCATCTACAGTGTTCCAAATGAATATAAGAACGCACCGGAATATTGATCAGGTTCATAAAATGTAGAAATTTACTTTGCCCTTCCCATTCGTGAAAATCTTTAGGTTTTTAATACATACAAACATTTTTGGTTATTTGATTTTTCCTCTTTTAGTACGTAAGTTATATTTTAGTTTTTGAAAGTTATAATCATCTTTTAAAATTTCAAAAATAATGATTTCTATAACAATGTTGGCAGAATTGTATTATATAATATTGTTTATGTAAAATGTATATAAATTCTTATACATTGTAAATAGACAATATCAGACTAATAAATAAAAAATACATAAACATTATAATTTTTTAATTTTTTAGCGACTTATGAACTAAAAAACTAATCACGTCAACTTTATTGGTTTTAAAAACATTTGGA